CAGCATGGGAGTTGAAGTCCACTCATCTTAAAGTGGACACGTTTGGACAACACTGCTCTAAACTGACTGCTCCAGTCCTGCAAAATCATTTTAGCATGCCGCGTGTAATGGTATGTGGGAATGACCTTGGGGGCAGGAGGAACAGCCACAGACTAGACAACAGCCAGATAAGAGGCAGCAGAGCCTGCAGAAGGAAAGGGGTGTGGCAAAAGTCTCAGAAGGGATCTAGTTTCTTGGACTGTAAAGGCAAAGGGGAGAGATTCACTTTCAGACTTGCAAGATTCTGCTAATATAACCTTACAATAAAGACAGAGCTAGTACTCCTGGGTGTGCTTCTTATCTGAACTACCTCGAAGGGCTGACAGTGTGTGGGTTCAGCTACCGTAGTTTGCAAAGCCTGGTGTAATGCTCTAGTACAAGCAAAGCCTGGTTTCAAGGGATGAATGAACCCCTATAGGTATCAGCTCCTGTATGCTCCGATATGTACCACGAGGTGCTTCCTTGGGTACACCACCGTTGCACAGCTCAGTCTCACAATACTCCTCGGCCAAAAACACAACCCGATCACCCGAAAGGTGTGAGATGGAGTTATTGGGCTTCCCGCTCACGTCACAGCCCTTGAGGAAGTAGGTGGAGATCTTAGGTCCTGCAAGAGAACGGAGGGAGAGGAAGGCAGATACACAACTGTAATCATGGCAGGTTCATACCTACAACTTGGTTCTCTGTTTTTAATACAGATTCTTCATATCCTTCCCTTGCCAAAAGGAAAAGGATGAGCTTCTTGAACGTTGCTATAAGAACGGCCCTGGGGTAGCTGCTGCTGGTGAAGAAATGTGTTGGTGACATCACAAGCACGACCCAATCAGGGCTCTTGCCTGGCAACAAGCCAGAGATCTGCAAAATGGGGAGTTGCTGCTTCGTCATCCTATTTCGTGACATGCCCGCGCATGATTTCTGGGGCTGCCAAGAGACTGCCAAATGACCGCTCCTGTCTTTCAAGGAGCGCATCTCTGCTCAGCCCTCAGGGCACTTGTTCTAGTTGGCTATAGGTTTCAGCAATCCAGGTAAGCTGTATATTGGGTTGAATCCTGCTCACATTGGGCCATAAGCACTGACGTAGGGCAATTCCACCCTGCAGCCTCAGCCGCTTCTCTCCCATCCGGTTCCCAGCTGTTTCTTAAGCAGCTTCTGGACTTCCAGTCCGGATTGCAGTGGACTGGTGAGGGGGTCAGGCTGGTGCTCAGTGTGGACTAGGGCCACTGCAACCCTGATTGATTGTTCTCGCACTTCTGGCCCTTCTCACCCCTGCAGGGAAGGTGAACCTCACTGGCAGGCTCCTGTGTGGACCAGTCTCCCGATGCCTGGTAGGGACTCTGCCTTCCCCACTAGTCCCCATGGCCTTCCTTTGCTTTCCCAGACATTTGGGCCAACCAGACAGGGTAGATCTGGCCTTAGACTAAGTTAGATCACTGGTCTGTCCGGCCCAGGACCAGCCCTGGGTCATTCACTCTTTCTCTCCCACCCTCTTTTTCCTATCATGCCGCCTTCCCCCAAAAAACTTACGAACTACTATGGTCATGACGGTGGACCTGCACTTCTCCTGATGCTCTTCACATACTTCTGTTTCCTGGCAGTCACTGTGGTCATGACAAGAATAACACTGAAGGCCAACGACTATTAGAAGAAATGGAAAGGGAAATCATTAGCAAAGTAGGCTTGTAAAAGAAGTATGGCCTCTCTAAGGGATGCTGGGAACAGGTTTTTCAGCCCTCTCTGCAGGGACTATGTTCTCACCTCTATGTAAACCATGGCTTGTTTAACTATGGTCTATTCAATGAATCATAATTGGCTCAACACAACTACGCCATGAATTCTGTGTGGTATATTGAGAACCACACTGCAAAAGTGGGTAGGTCCAAGATGAATTTAGGTGGAGGTAGGAATGAATGAAATGAGTGCTTTAAGATTTTGCAAAGCTTAAGGCACCTTTTTTCTCCTTATATGGGCATTTCTGGAGAGGGAGGTAGGCAAACAGTGAAATATGCCTCATGATGTCATGATACAAACTCAGCTCCTTTCGTACCTCAATTGTGATGTCACGTGCAAGTATTTAAGGAGTGGAACTTGCATTATGATGTCATGATGCAAGTTTCATCATCTTTCATCAGTTTACTGCTGATACCCCTGGACTTTTAATGCCCACGGTGCAAAACGTGTAAAGGCCCTACTACTCTGGGGGCCTCTAGAGCTGCAAGAGGAACTGGTGGCTGGGACCCATTTTTTACACCTCTGCAAGAGGCCATAATCTAGGATTTGCTAACTGTAGTCCCTGTGTTTTGGATTTTCTGAAAAGACTCAGGCAGGGTGGAAATCCATACAGTAAACGCTTTCCACTTTTGGAAAGACTCCAGATCAGAGTTGATCAAAGGGGCTCTCATTTGGCAGGAGACCCATCTAGAAACATTCTCAGCATAAATGATTAATGGAAGAATTAGAGAGAAGCTAGGAATCTGACATATTTTTCCTATCTGGTAAAAGTAAAACTTCTCTTGTATTGAATCAGTGATGCACATAAAAAACAGGCAGAACCTCAGTCGGACCACTGCGGCCACCAACTTTACTTTGCATGTAGACACTTACATTAGTTTACTAATGTAATGTAATGTAATGTAGACACCCTAGTCTACTAATGACTAATGTAATGTAGGATGGACTGGTCTACTGTAGGACTAATGTAGTTTACTAGTTTACTAATGTAACGTGGACTTTTAATGTAGACACTCTGCAGACACCTCCGGCCAGAGGCTTATTTTTCCCACTCCCATGACTGTTGGTACATCCTCCTTTGGACTAAATTGTAGAAGAGTAGATCATCTTGCTTAGTCATCTAACCTTCCAACCTATCCTAGATGCACTATTCCATCTTGGGTCTTGTACACATGACGGGGATAAGTGTAGATCACTTTCAGCCAGGGGCTCTTTAGATTCCTGGGTCCTGGATCCTCCACATAGGGCCTTTCCTTAATTCTATGGAAGTGCTTTTCACACAATTCTTTCACAAAACTCTACTGGCTTAAAATGTGTTATCCCCATTGCCAATCCCTAGCCTGCTTCTGTTCTCAGTCAATGTCAATCAACTGGCTTCTCTCAGGGGACCAGGTGACAAAGCCTATCAGCACTGGATGGGGTTGGAAGAAGAGGACAATGCAACTTTCACATGGTACAACTAAGGATGACGAACCTAACTGGGGTTGGGGAGGAAATGAAGTCAACATGATGAGGACATGGCAGAAAAAAAAGAGGTTGCCAGCAGGGCAGTTGTCTCCCATGGTTAGGTACAAGTGGGAAAAGGCCCTTCATGGGTGCTCCATCCATGCTTCCTTCTTTGAAATGATCGGATGGATCTATACTTCTCAAAGTAACAAAACTAATCAGTTAAACGAGACCCTCAAATGCTGTTTGGGGATTTGCCATTCTTATTTACTTAAGCACTGACTTCAGTGATTCAAAAACAATGAGGAAAGACCATGATGCCGATCTAAGATAAAAGAAGGTCAAGTGGAATCCAATGAATATTCCCTTTCTGAGATTCCACATCTTGAAACAACTTGGTTTTGTCTTGTTATCTTCATAGTCCAAATGCCTAGAGCAGTGTTTCTCAACCTTAAGAACTTTAAGAGGTGTGGACTTCAACTCCCAGAATTCCCCAGCCAGCCATGCTGGCTGGGGAATTCTGGGAGTTGAAGTCCACACCTCTTAAAGTTCCTAAGGTTGAGAAACACTGGGCTAAAAGGCAGGTTCCTGTATCTATGCTACTTTCTTGATAGCTTGCATGTCTGAATGGGTTTTTGCCTCCTATACAATAATTTCCCTATAGTCTGAATCCATACATTCAGCTTTCAGTAACTGGGGACGGGAAGCTTTAGAAACACATCAACCTCTCAGAGTGGAGGTGAGAAAAATGGTTTAGAAAAAACCTTTAGAGGTTTTAGGTTAAATGGTGAGAAAAAACCTTTAGAGAGAGAGAGCTAAGCAACACACAATCATGTGAGAATCGAGAAGAATTCTGGGAGGAGGCATTTATTCTACTGAAATTAATCCAGGAAGCTCTCCTGTAGATGAAAATCACTAATTTGAAGAAGTTTCAAAGCCACCCATAAAAATGTAAGGGGAAAGGGAGGAAGTGAACAATCAACTATTTTTAGCTGCTAATTTTTACCTTTTGTATTGCCCTTTTTTTTCCCCCTAAAGAAGCAAACTGATCTGTGTTTGATTGCCCTTGGTTTGTTTATTTTTTAAAAAATTAACTAAACCAGGCATTTCATAACAGCCTAAGATTACAGGATTAGAGTCTTGCTTGTTAATTTTTCTTAAGTCGATTACTTGCCTCTGGCCGAGACATCTGATCTCCTTCTCAGTTTAGGAATGAGACCCTTTCTTGCCTGGTCGTAACTCCGGATCTCATATCTGGGCTGCCATAATCTGAACAGCCACTAGGGGACAGCCACGAGATACACAAGGGCCAACTCTGCGCGGCCATCTGCATTTCTGCAGCCCAGCTCCTAATTGTAACCATTAGGCACTACTTCCCATTGAGAATAAAGAGGTGGGGGTGGGAAAAACTACAAGACATCCGATCTCCTTCTCAGGTTAGTAACAAGACCATTTCTTGCCTGCCCTGAAACCAGCCAGATCGATTTTTTTCCTCCCAATCATAAAAGAAACTTTAAAAGCTCCAGAGCAAAACTAATTCCAGCAATCCGGAGAGCGGTTTTCGTTTACAGCTGTCACACAAAAGACAATATATAGAACCATTCGCCTCCCACCACCCCCGCTCTCGCTTTTTAAAATGATTTTGTTTTACCGTCTGCCACCACCAAGGAGAACAACACGCTCGTCCAGAAGCACTCCATGAGTTCAGGACGCAGAGCTGGACCGGGGAGGCGTATGAATGGGCTGGCGATCCGCAAAGCCGGCCGTCCTTCAGCAATTCTTCCAGGCCGGGGGAAAAAAAAGTCTGCGGCTCCGTCCCTCTGGGGCTCTGCTCATGTTTTAAATCCACCCGCCCCCCAGCTCGCCCGGCCCCACCCCAGAAATCAATTGCGGAAAAAATTCCCTCTTTTAGAGAAGTTTCAGAGACTGACGCAGCAGCCGGCGGAATGAGCGATACAGGAAGAGGGGGGAAGTGATGAAAATTCGCTTTGTGGCCACATCAGCCCTCGGTGCAGACGCACAAGTCTTGTTCCTCACGAAATGGCCTTGCCTTAAAGTCCTTCCAATGGCGAAAACCGCACGCGGCAGCCGCGGAAGCAGCCCCAGCGTTCTTCGGGGCATGTGCAAAGCGCCGGGTCTCCCTCCTTACCTGCGCTGGAGCATCTCACCTGCCCCGCACGCGTTTTGCTTTAGGGCTGCGTGTGGTATCCTTTTCTATTTTGTTTCGTATTGATTTATTTTTTAAAATTTTTGATTACAAAAAAAAAGGAAAAAATACATAAAAGTGCTTTAACAAAAAAGGGAAAAGGCAAAAAAGAGAAAAAAATGTTAATATATCATTCTAGCAATAAAGTTACAATTCTATATATGCTTATCTAATACAAATATTATTCAAGTACATATCTATTTCTAATAGATTTATATGACTATCGTGGTTTTTTTTCTTTTCTATTTCCTATTTTGCGATTTCATTTTTTCTGTTTTCCATTTTAGCTTTCCTCTTTAGCTTTTTTATTCTCTACTTCACTTTTCCGTTTTCCATTTTTCTGCAGTAAATGGTCTATTTCGCTTTTCGCTTTTGTTTCGTGATGTGGCAACCCCACCCAGAGTCCCGTGGTTGGAGGTCTCAATAAATAAAGGTTCTGATCACATAACGGCATCCCTCCTGCCCCGCATCGTTTGTGAAAAAAGGTGAACCGCCCCGTATTCCAAACCAGGCGTTGCAAAGGGACTCTCTGACTCACCCTCTTGAAGTGCCCCGCGGCCAGGAATTTATACTGACGGCAGATGTTTGCAAGAAAGAAAAAAATCTCCAACTGGAACAATTCTCTCTAGTTTGGCAAGGTGACCCGTCTTTGCAGATCAAAGTCCAGAGACCTGTGTGTACTTTCAGTATTCTTCTCATGCTAAATGAGTGTCATCTGGACCTTATGGTGGGATGTGCTCCTCCGTATATCCTCGCTCCCGGAGCCCTACAGAGGTATTTTTCAACCTGAGGCCAGGGTCAATCCTCCCCACCTCCCCTTACCATGCCCAAATGCTGTCCAAAGGACAGCCCTCTCCCCCCGGTGGCTCCTCTAATTATGGCTCTACCATAAATTAGCCACATGGGCTGGTTAGTTGAACACGCTCCGCAAAACAGCAGTTGATCAGTTCAGCGTATCATGAGAACACAGTCCTCGACAAGAACATAAGTGTGATCTCCGACAATCGCTCTTCCATAATTTCCTCGAACTTGACAGCAAGATTTAGGGCCACAGAGAACCCTGCCCAGATCCACCACTGATGCTTCGTTTAAGCCAGTGTTGTCCAAACTTGGCGTATTCAAGATGAGTGGACTTCAACTTCATGGCTGGCTGGGGAAGTCTGGGAGTTGAAGTCCA